CCCAATTCAATGGAAACACCAACAAATTCTGTATCAAGAAAATCATTTAGATCAATTAAATTAGTGGTATATTTGGTATCAACTGCAATAAGGACGCCACCACCTTTTTTACAAACACGATCTTTTCTAAATATTTGATATTTTGAACATAAAATTTCACTATTTAGTTTCGGAGAAAACCAATACATTATAATTGAAACCAATGCTATCAGTATATAAACTGGTTAATTTTGTATTAAGCCCCCTTTCATTCTGATAGCAAATAGTTTTTGGCACCGAATCTGGTCTAAGAGGCAAATGAGCTAAATTATCGGATCTCTCCACAAATTCTTTAATAAATGCCCTAGCAGGCCACAATTCTTTTAAAATCAATTGTACAAAAATATTTTGTGAGGTTTTCTTAGAAACCTTACTATCAATACTCATAACATCAGGATTATTTACCCCGTTACCTATACCGCTGTTATCTACCGGAACTGGGAGTCCTTAACTTGTCGTTAGCCACCCACATAGTTCCTGAAGCCTGGAAAATGGGCAGGGTGGTCCCGCTACTGAAGCCTGGCAAGGATGCCAGCAAAGGCGAATCATACAGGCCAATTTCGCTTTTGTCGCCAGTAGCAAAGACTCTCGAGGCCTTACTCCTCCCCAGTATCAGAGGAAGCTATTCAGTTGCTAACCATCAACACGGTTTCCGTCCACTACATAGCACTACAACAGCATTGCACGCCATATCCACCGGAACTGGGTGTGTAACAACACTGGCATACGACTGTTCACGTCCAGTCTCAGTTGTATCAGTGATATTAACTGAAACCGGTTGTGGAACAGTGTTCTCCACAGAAACTATTGCTTTGCGACTAGGCATTCCCTTAGTTGGTGCCTCTTTTGCACCCCTTTTGCGTTTTTGGCCAGAAACTGACGGTGACGACACAAACTCATCTAATTCTTGTAAAAACTTATCATTGAATAATCACTGCGGCTTCCAACTACTACTTGCAATGCCGATACAGTGATATTGGATTTTCAAGGATAAAGCTATGGCAGCGACATTGTTCCGGCGTCGACTATTACGGGCCTTCATGGGTTGCCGAGCTGTATTGTTTACAAAAGAAACAAGAGGAAACGTTTCCAAACATTGATGAAATGATGACTGGTACATTTAGTGTTGTCTTTCTAAATATTGTGTTTTTGTACCTTTTTCCATTATATGTAAACAAATAATTGAATTAAAATGCATGAATATATCTCAATATTAGTTTGTATATTATTTGCAATAAGTTAATAGAATGAGTTAATTGCAATGAGTATTGTACTATGTCGTTTTCAATATTGCGTCATCCTGCAGAGTAAATTTCAGTTTTGTTTTAGTCTCCACTCATCTACACAAACAGTAGAAAATAATAAACAAGTCCCGTTGTCCTAATATTGGTTTTGTTTCTTTAGTACGTCGAGCAAATACAGGACAAATCGATTGTAAACGTTTCATACAGTTTATTTCGTACGCTGCTCATATCTCTAACGAGCCGAATGATATAGTAGCGTTAACACCATTTTCTAGTGAAAAAAACCTTTAATGGCACAGGTTGATCTAACGGCGAACCATTAATGGAAAGTAGTGTCGCAGATTAAGCATTAATTCTGAAGACGTTGGTTTGCGGATTACCAAGGTATTCCGAAAGAATATAAGGAAATAGGTTCGCAGATTAATCATGAGTCCTGGAGACGTTTGTCTACATACCTAAGTACTCTGCATTAAAAAAGAAATTGGAGTTAAAATGTTGAGTATGTTCAACTGGTCAACATAACGGAATGAAAGGCCATCGTCAAAACGATTTAAGTTGCCAAGGTGCATGCTGAAATCGACAAAGTTTATGAATGGAAGACTTGGACATGGATGATTTCTCTGCTGGGATAAGAACCATTCTATTATTGTTTAAACATTCAACATAAGTGGAAAGGATGAAGGTTTGAGTCTAAGAATTTTCAGCAACAAGCTACAGCTCATGCTACTGTCATCCAAGTTAAAACATATAGAAGACAACATCATCGATGTTTTCACAGACGCTCATCATTATCGTAGAAAACCCATTACTACTTGTCCCACATCAATTACTGATCGAGCTCTAAACCACCAAGGGTCATATTCGGCCTTCTCGTGTTCTACCCATTCGTGAAGATAACATGACGGGTTTCTTTAAATTAATGAAGAGGAAGGGAAGGAAGTGTTTTTAAAACAGCATCATAATCAAGATTTGCCTTCTATCGTGACCTTCAGCAGTTGGGCCAATTGTACATGATTCCCCTACACATACTTCGATCTGGCCAGCTTTTAACATCACTGAAATCAACTATATTGACAGTCAGCGCCCATAGGGATGAATTCATGCCGCCAATGCAGAAGAAATGCATTCATACGAGAAATGACGTTTTTATTTATGAAAAACATGCGAGATGAACTTTTTCTCAAATAAGTCATTGTGTATAGGCTTGTGTCCCATCACCAAACTTAAAAAGAAATGACACAAAAGAATCAATGGATTTTTACTCTAGCCACTTTAAAAGTTATCGTTTGTTTGTGGAAAAAAGACACACTTGCGATTCAAGGATCTCGAACTATAGAGGTTGTGCCGGATTCCCTCTTCAAAGACAAAACCGCTACAACACACGGTCATTACGAAAACAAAACAACCATACTCACATCATATCCGAGACTTAAGGCTTTAGATTATATAAGGGTAACATTAAACCTGCTTAAATAACATTATGAAACGCATACTACTGAGTTCGTCAATTTACACCAGCAGGTGATAACCATTAAAATCTGACGCCTCCCACAAGTAACGAAATTAAATTCAAATTGGAGTAAACATATATGTCAGAGTTACGTTTCGCCACTACACAACTTCCAACAATGGCTTCAGTCAGTATCATCATCACATGTCATTGACCAGACTGTTTTTAAAGGTAGATTGCAAGAAATAGTAAACATTCCAAGATTACACAATTCAAGTGTTGCATCTTTCCGTTAACAGATATTAAACAACCTCAATACAGTATTGAAGCGGTAGATTTAAATCAGTGTTATATTCCTAACCGTTATAAGTCAAAATTATTAGAACATGAATGATCTGCATGACTATTACAGTGGTATATGGGTCCAAATTAAGGAAATTATTTAAAAGAGTTTAAAAACTCGATTGTATATATTTGCATTCCTATTATAGTACCTTTAAATTCGACAAGGCCAGTTACATTGTTCACTCATGCGAAGCGTAAATTTGCGAAGATAACTAAAAAATCGCTTCAGTTCAAAAGAATTTTGTACGTTTTATTATCAATGAAACCACCCACTGCGTACGTATTTGGTTTAACCATATAACCTGTAAAAATATATGCAATAGTTCATGATTTCCTTTTTCATTGATACTATTAAAGCATTGAAATAATTACCAGTTTGAACAAATTAAATAGGAAAATTAATTTCCTATACAACCTGTTAAGCTTGTTAAAAAGGAGATAAAACGAAAAAAAAATAATATTATTTGACCCGTAACACAAGAAATTTTACAGTAGCAATTTTCAGAAGGAAGGGAGTAGACAAAGCTCTTGCAGACAAGTGTCTGCAATTAAAATTCTTAAAACTTATTTGGTTTGTAAAAACTTAAAAAATATAAGAAGTAATGAAGACAATTGTCACGGAGCTACCCCCTGCTAATCAAGAATAATATCAATGACAATACTGGCATAATGCAAGCCATAAACGGAGCAACTGGTTGTACAACTTGGAGAGGTTGTATTCAAGATTGTATCGTTTGTAGCCCGGTTGGACGAAGTTGTGTCTCGGTTAGACAAAAAATCAAATTTTTTTGATATTTGGCAAGTTGTACCAACCGATTGTACTGTTTGTGGGCATGTCGCATACAATTTCATTTTGTGTTTATTTTCAAATAGGCAACACCATTGTTTCGCACATCAAAACAAGACGAAATCCAATCAAATGTGTGATTTCAATGAAAATATAAAAAAAATAAAAATATATATGAAACGGAATTTCAAAAAATTAGTGCTTCTTTATACCTAAATATCATACATTTGGTCTGTTCCAGGACCTGCAACTATCTACTAGTTTTGCATATTTTCAACAAATGTATGAAGAAATTTAGATATATAGAAGCAAACAAAGATTGGTTATTCAAAAATTAAGAGTACTAGTTCTTACTTAAACAATTTAAATTTTGGATATATCAGGGTCATGTTTACAATTTGACCAAATATGAATCGCTGCTCGCATTTCTTCTGATTTTTGATTTTTGCACGAAAGTAGAAGCGAATAAAAACATTTAAAGTATTCTAGTGTACTTTACATTTTACAACTAATAGTTGGTCATGGCACTGTGATTGGAACACAACATCCAAATTGGCTTTCAAATGGCTGTCTTTAAATTACTTTTCTAAAATATAGATATGAATACACCATAGAAGTGCAAACAAATATCTTTCACTTAATGCTTGAAAATCAATCTCTGTGCCAGACATTTTGTTAATGCATCTAGACTACAGAACGCCACGATATCACCAATTTTCATGTCACGGTTAAGTACCTGATATATATATATATATATATATATATATATATTCTTTTTTTTTTTTTTTAAATAGGTCAGTTAAGATTTATGAGCAAAAGCAAAATAATTTCATATTTAAATTAAAATCACTAAAACTAATTTCCATTGTGCTACAGCGATCCCATAATGTCAGAATAATAATGCTGATTTTTTTTTTTAAATTATGAATACATCCCATAAGTAGGCAATTAAAAATGAATCCGTTGGGTTAATACATATGTATGTATATGTTCAAATACCAATTCACACAATTATATGTAGATATCAGTAATAAAAGCAATACATTTTCAAAAATTAAAACTTCAGCAAAATTGACTTGAGGAATAAAAAAACTCCTACCACCCTATCTTACATTCCTATTTGTTGAATACATACATTTGAGATTATGCTGCCAGTTTTCCAAAGTATCCTTAGAGCAAATTTAAAATTGGTCGAATTTTTCATACATACGTGTTGAGTGGCCTCTCTTAATTGTATAGATAGACACTTTTCCACACGAGATTTATTATGGACAATTTTTTTACAGATCTGACGAGAATAATTATATCGTCTACGACGTCGTCTCATTGCGTTGACTGTTACCATCTTTTTTCTATTTTTCTCACACCACCTGCAAATTCCTATGGATATACACTTTTTAAGTACATATATATCTATATTTATAAATTATCTACTCTTACTCGCAACAATTTAAAACAGCGACACATTACACAAAGCTAAGGCTTTTCCCCGATTATTTTTGCACATTGCTGTTAAACGGCTCACTTTAATTTTAATATTTGCGTTTCTTCCTCGTACGTTCTTGTTCGTTCTCAACGATGTAAAAATTGTGTGTCGTACAACGGACTTGGATTTACCCACAAAACCCTAAAGTATTGCCAACCTGATATAAGAACAAAAATTGGTAACAATATTGTATTGACGATCCCTAAAAATCAACGTACTTATTGACGTTTACTACCATTTTGTGGATGTGTCTATTATTAGGTATCTTATAGTACGTTTATATATATGAGGGTTAACCCACTGGATTTGGATTTAAATTGTCATATGCATTACTTTTTCTTCAAATAAATCCTCTCAAAGTAGGTTAACCCTACAAAAAGTTCTAACGTAAACATGGCATTAGGTCTTCTTACTTTATATCATGGAAGAAGAATATAGGTAGACGCGTCGACACAGCTGCTGGGACAATGAACTGTCAAACCAATTTTGGAATTGAAAATGTTGAATGAAAAATTATTTAAATTTTGTAAAAATTGTTGAAAAAACGCGAATTATAATAGCCTCCGTATGACGTAGTATAAGAAAGCATATAAAATCCACTTATATTTGAAAAAACACCTACATTTTTTTGACATATCAATGCTCCCAAGCGTTGATGCATCTACCTGTATTCTTCTGCCATCCTTTATATATTAAGAATTGACACGCACAGAGTTAGAACAGGGCACGAACATGGCACAATTACAGAAGGTAAGACAGAGTTACTTTCATGGTAGAAGAATACAGGGAGTCGCATCGATACAGCTGCTGGGACAATGAACCCTAACCAATTTTGAAATTGAAAATTTTGAAAGAAAAATTCATAAAATTCGTTAAAATTGTTGAAAAATGCATATCATAAGAACCTCCGGTTGGTGTCGTATAAGAAAACAATGTAAAAATCAACTTATATTTTAAAAACATTTTCGAAAAATTGACATATCAACTCTAGAACACCTGCATTCTTCTACCATTGCTACCTCGTACACCTGGCAAAACTACAGAAGGTATAACAAACCACCGCTTAAATACATATGTTTTCTCTTTGTGCCCATATTCTGCCAAAACATATGCACATGTTATATACGTCTGCGATGTTTTCAACAATAAAGAAAAAAATGGAAATTATTTCAAATTTAGTTTCAACAGAAATTCATATTTTCTGAATTAATGGGAATAAGCTGTACAATTTTGGGTTAAAACAATATTGTCCTCCTATTTTGGACTCAATTTTGTGGAATAACCCCAACATTCCATTCATGTTTTGTGGGGTTTCCCTCAATATAAAAATTTTACGAAAATATGTAAAATAAACCAAACCAATTGTTAAATGTTTAAAGGACTATTTGACGCAATAAGACTCCAATAGGGACTTACATATTCCTAGATGATTTAAAATTCAACAGCTTCTCTTATTGATTTTTGGTGCACCTATTCTGTCAAAACATACACACAGTCTTTATATATGTGTGTGTGTATTTTTTTTGAATAATGATGCAACAGAAATGCATATTTTTTTCAAGTTAATTTCATGGTACAATGAAATAAAGGTAACCTCATTTCAAATTAGCATTTCCAGCTCTGCATTTTCTGTAATTTACCTTGTCAAATTTCAATGCATAAAAACAGTTTCCATCTCTGATTTTGTGTGTATAAGTTAGATCCTTACGTGATAAGGTATCAAAAAAAATTTCGATCAACGTGATCCTTACGCGACACTTTGTCAAAAAGGGCTCGCGATTTAATATTATCCTGTAAGTTGCAATTATCGAAATTGCACTTACCGCTGTCTTTTATTACGCGTCACTTTATCAAAAAGGATCGCGGACTACTTTTGATCCTGTAAGTTGTAATTATCGAAATTGAACTTACTGCCGCTTTTATTATTAAAACCACGATTTTTCTATTTATTAAAATCAACTTTATTGGTTGGCTGCTGATCAAAGAGTGTCTTGAAAACTACATTACAATATTCGAGTAAGAATTAAATTTTAAAATTAATTTGCCTATTTAACAAAATTATTTTCCATGAAATCATGCCACTTTGTTGTTTAAAATTTAGTTGCTGTTACCAAAAACAATTCTTATTAATTTCGTCTACACGCGTAAAGCATTGCATGGGTTGACGAAGTCAACTACCGGAAATGCATTTTTTGGGTTCATTAAAATTAATCGGAATTTGATGTTGGGAAAATATTTGGAGCAGACTAACGTCTGCAATGCAGATTCATGAGAATTGATTGCTTTGGAATAATTATTAATAAAAGAAACTATACTTTATTGGATTAACAACTTATTGTGTGTTAACTCCTCCCCCTTTAAAAACGATTGAAATAAGGTAAGTCATCGACCTTTTGTGGTCCTGGTACCTGCACTGTGTTTCGAGGGACTGGGACCTGTATTAATTCTTGGCTAGGGGTAACTGTATGAACGAATATTTTCTGTTTTTTCTTTGTTAAAAACCCAATTATCAATAAAAATATAGCAAAAATCGAAAATAAAGAAAAAAAGGTAAATTTAGTAACAACTGATTCCGACTTGAGTTCATGGATGGATTTAGTATTATTAATATGCAAATAGTTTAACATTTCCAAAGATAAAAGATTTATGAATTCATCTTCGTCGGGTGTTTGCTGTATTGCTGGTGGACTAATTATTGAAAATGGAGCTTCTAAATTTTCGTAAAATTTGTCATTAATACGCAGCGTGGCATTTTGGAATTCTATTAAAAATGTTCCATTTAAAGATTTATTATTTACTGTCCCACTAAAATCATTAAGAAATATAATACCCGGCGAAATAGTTTCTATCTGAGGAATATGATACCCGTGAGTAATTTGACAAGATGAATTCATTCCGTTTAGTAACGGTGGGATACAAGTATCGTTGGAAATATCTACTAATTGGTCCCTTTGAAAAAATTTTACATTTTTTGTCATTATGCATTTATTTTTTACGCCATATATGCTATTATTACTTTTAATAATTTCATTAAATTTAATATTTATGATTTTATTATTTCTTTTTACAGGTTTTATCAAAAAATTTTGATAGTTTTTTTTACTAGTTAATGGTATTTTAATAATATATAAAAGTTTTTTCTTGATTATACATTACTTTTAGTTTTGCAAATTCTAGGGCTTCTTCTATTGATGTTACAATAATATTATCGTTTTTAATTTTTTCTAATGCAATTGTCATTTCTTTTTTATTTAACAAAATTGTGTTTACAATATTTAACTTAGCCCATTGTATTCCAAATTTAATATTTGTTAGTTCTTCTTTTGTAAAACTTAGTTTTGTTTGCATGCTGAGTGCAGCTTCATTTACATAGTTGTTATCTTTTTTAATGGCTTTTTCTATTTGATTTGTAATTTGGGTTAGGTTTTGTATCCTTTCTGTAAAAATATCATTTATTATTACTTGTTGATTATTGTTTTGAACTGATTATTGTTTTTGTAATTAACTCAAAATCGTCATGATCCGGAGATCCCGCGATGTATTAGCAGGTTTAAAGATGTCATGTTGGTAGGTCCTTCTATTGTAACGATGTTATTGGTCATCTATTGTGGGGCTCAAAACTTTGTTGATCCTTTTCGTAGCTGCAAGATTTCTTCTTAGATTGGGATGTTTGTGTTGTGGGGTCACAGATAGCACTTTTTAAGTTCTTAGTTTTATAGAACAGTTTTTAATGTATTTTGGAAAATTATTTTTTTTTTTAATTTTTTTTCAACCAATTTTTGTAATTTTGTTTTGATGTTTTCACCAATTTGCAAATTTATTTATTTTTTTTTTTAATATAAAAAATGTTTTTTTTTTTTCAACACTCTTCGTATATTTATTTTGGAAATATTTTCATTTTTTTCAAACACTTTGTATTTTGGTTTTTGGTCATTCACAGATTGTGATTTTTTGAGTTCACAAATAAGTTAATTTAGATTTTTTTTGTAAATGATTTTTATGGGATTCGTATCCAACTAAATGTTAATAACTTCACTCATTTTTTTTTTACCTTTTAGTATACGTTTTTCCTTTAACAACTTAATAATTACACTTGGTGTTTTGACACTTTATTTGAGTTTTCCTTAAAATAAAAACGTATTTTGTTTTGAATCGGTTTTTTTTTAGCTTTAGTAAAACTTTTTTTTTTTTTTTTTTAAACACGTTTTGTCTGTCTTCAACAGAATTTAAAAAATTTCACTTGTTGTTTTTTTTTACATATCAATGTATGTTGTCCTTTTAAAAAATGTTCTTATTTATTTGTTTATTATTTATCGCGGGTGAAGTGGCTAGCGTGCAACGCGTCCTTTTCCCAATTTGTACTAAGGGGCCGTTTCTTCACTCTTTACACGACACTGATTCGCTCGGGCGCCAGTTAGATCCTTACGTGATAAGGTATCAAAAAAAATTTGGATCAACGTGATCCTTACGCGACACTTTGTCAAAAAGGGCTCGCGATTTAATGTTATCCTGTAGGTTGCAATTATCGAAATTGCACTTACCGCTGTCTTTTATTACGCGTCACTTTATCAAAAAGGATCGCGGACTACTTTTGATCCTGTAAGTTGCAATTATCGAAATTGAACTTACTGCCGCTTTTATTATTAAAACCACGATTTTTCTATTTATTAAAATCAACTTTATTGGTTGGCTGCTGATCAAAGAGTGTCTTGAAAACTACATTACAATATTCGAGTAAGAATTAAATTTTAAAATTAATTTGCCTATTTAACAAAATTATTTTCCATGAAATCATGCCACTCTGTTGTTTAAAATTTAGTTGCTGTTACCAAAAACAATTCTTATTAATTTCGTCTACACGCGTAAAGCATTGCATGGGTTGACGAAGTCAACTACCGGAAATGCATTTTTTGGGTTCATTAAAATTAATCGGAAGTTGATGTTGGGAAAATATTTGGAGCAGACTAATGTCTGCAATGCAGATTCATGAGAATTGATTGCTTTGGAATAATTATTAATAAAAGAAACTATACTTTATTGGATTAACAACTTATTGTGTGTTAACTTATACAATGGATTTATGAATATAAATTTTGACAATGAAATGTTG